TCTGTTTCAACTGATTCATGCATTCAGCATTTCATAAGTGGCCACATGGAGGTGCTATTTGTACGCTGGGCCTCGCTACAGCTTTTAAAACAAATTCAGAAAACACAAAACAAAAGATTATTTCAGTTTTCTGAAAGGCGGGGACAACACTGCTGGCTCGTGACTAGTGTTAGGTATTTTTAGTTAGATAGATATTGGCAGGTATTTTGTTGTATTAGAAATGTTAGAGTAGAGCAGGATGACTAGTCAGGCTGCTTCATGCTGAAGCATTTTCTTAGGTTTGGTATAGAGTGTACATCTTAAGGTTGTTTCTTATTATTATTATTATAAGGATATGTTTAATCTTAATATTGGCTTATGTTTAGTTTTCCGGCATGGAATGGAGTGCTCGGTGAGAATGTTTTTAGATACACACCACAACCAACATTCATTCACACGTTGATTTGTTCCATGTTTGGACTATTACTATGCCCAGCTGCGGAGCTGGCACCAGGCACGTCACGGTCTGACTGCCTGGGTGGAGAATGGGGCTAGCCCAACCGAGAAGATAATTGTATAGGCTTGTTTTATGGTTGGGGGTCTTACATTCTTCATCTGCCTGCGCGCAGTTTGGAGGTGCATGATACCTGGCCGTGTAATGTTAACTTTTACCTGTGATCATTGAATAAACCAGCACTGTATTGAAGTTACTTGGACTGCCTCGTCTCTCAGAGTTAGCGTGGTAAGAAGTACCAGGAAAAACTACACTAGACAGAACCAAAGTCAGTCAAGATCAGTGATACTACACAGAACAAAACCCTGACCTCATCATGGATGACCCTGCTGGGCTGAATTTACACAGGATGGAAGAAGATAATGAGATCATAAGCAACATTTTAGTTAAGGACATGAATAGGATGCCATTCTTCATAACATAATGTTTCATAATGTAGATTCTTCAGCACAGCCAACTGAGATGGCTTAGGATCCAGACCAGAGGTTCCAAACGTTTCCATGCCAAGGCCCCCCACATAGCATTAGGTTCTGGCCGGGGGCCCCCTTTACAACTTGTCTTAAAAACCCATTGACAATACTGTAGCAAATGTTAAATCAGGTTTAAACTGAAAACGCAAGTTCATTTTTAAACATATATTCTGTCTTAGTTCAGTCTCTTTTTTGCAGCCCCCCGCCCCCATCAGCACCCCCATGCCTCTGCCTCACACCAACTCTCTTTTGCTCCCTTCCTCCCAACATTGCGTCTGAGTCACACATCTGCAATAGAAACATTGCAAAAAGCAGTTGAAAACCTATAATGCATACTAACAACTGCAGTTTCTTTGTCAGAATACATCGGCAGAGTGAATATATTTTTATAATTATTTAATTTGAAAACAAGTTCTTTGATACATATGGCGCCATAACCTCTCTGCCTCAGTTCATCTTATCACCCCCCACACATTGCTGTGCCTTATACAGTCTCTCCCTCCCTCCCAGCATCTACCCTGCATAATCACATCACATCATTACATGCCTGCTTCCATTAACTCCTAAATTTTTGTTGCTGCTTTTTCCTAATTCATGTTTTGTGTTTCTGGTTCTGCTGTAGCATTCGTATTAGAAGTTTGATTAGGTGTAGTAAACCTGTACTGCAGCGCCCTGACAGAACGGCAATGAGCCGGCATTAAATAACCTTACTGTTTGCTGTTTTTGTGGAATGTTAACATAACTTGTGAAATGCAGGGGGTCTGTCTCATTGTCTGATGAGCAGAGATCTGATAAAGCCTTCTGGCCACAGCGGGCCACCTGCTGGGGGTATATGGTGATAACATAACATTTTTTGCCCACAGGCCATGGTTAATGTCGAACCCTTAAATGAGCCAATAAGAAGCTGTAACACCAGTAACATCACTAGCAGTGTTTTACCATCAGGTGGTGACAGAGGTTTATAGAAAACAAACCAGTTGTTAAAGCATCACTTTGAAATGTGGTGCTGTTGTTTTTGTTACATTTTGTTTGACATCATTATTGTGATATTTTCTCCAGGTGATAAACACCTGGCTTAACAAACAGTTTAATATGAATGTGAACACTATTGTTGTTTTCAGTTGTCAGTGTAAACTCTGCTGATGAACAGCACATTTAAACTCTGTCAGTTCAGTAGCAGCTGTGTTCACAGTGATTCAGTCAGTGTGTTAGTGGAAACTTTAACATGAAGATCTGACAATGTTACACAAACACTAACTCACCTGACTTGGTTAGAATATTGTCATAATGGATTTGAATGTTGTGTTGGCAGTAGCTCTCCTTCTCATTCCTCATCTGAGCCAGAAGAGAAGGATCCTTGTTCAAACGCTCTGCGTTCTTCACACCAAGCTCAGTGTATCCAACATACTTCCCCACGCTGCTGCTGACCCTGATGATCTCCAGCTTGTTGTAATACATAGAGTAGATGTACTCGATGTCTTTCAGATCAGTGGAGTTAAACCCACCATGGCATGCAGAAATCCATCTGAGGAACAATCAGTCAGTGATCAGTGTATTGATCCTACCTGCTGTGTAGACAGCGATTAAGTCTACCCAGTGTGTATTGATCAGTGATCAGAGTATTGATCCTACCTGCTGTGTAGACAGTGATGAAGAGGAGGCAGAAGCTGAGAACTGATGAAGCCATGTTCCTCTGTTCACTTCACAAACACTGACACAGTCTGACTGAGAGCTGCTCTAAAAGCCAGAGGACGTGATCACATGATGCAGCGTCACCCGTTACCAGGCAGACTCTCACACACGTCTGATGAAGGGACATAAACACAATAAGAGGAAAGTTGACCCAGGTAGTTGTACAGTGAAATACCATAAATCTGTAGTTACGTTATAGTTCTGCATTTATCACTGCACATCTTTTGTGATTTGTTGTTTGCAGTGAAATCAGTAAGACTAAAGAGATGGTGATTGATCCCTGGCGGAAATCACCAGCACTCACTCTTTCAAGGGCCAGAGCCACCTCCACTTGTTGAGGAGACTGAGGTCCTTTGGTGGGGGGGGGACTTTTTATGATACTGTAGTGGCATCTGGTTGGTTGTGTAGCTCTGCAGCTCACTGTGCATGTGCTATGAGTCTATTTCTATTGTTTTACTGTCGGGAAGAGGATGTGTCCACCACTGAGTGAGGAACCTATGGAAAAGCAGTGAAAACAGCTCCAGCTGTGGTCACCCCTACAGCTGCTGAATGTTTCTCTTCATAGAGACCAGTGTTTGTCATTTTCACCCATTTTAACAAAAACTCAAACTAAATGGAATCTTTTGAAAAGGATGAATGAAATTTAAAAGTTAATCTACAGTAGGTCACAACCTCTTCATCACTGAGCCTTGGAGACGCTCTGACCCTGTTGTCAGCGGTCACAGTCTGGCCTTTGTCAGAGTCACTCAGATCCTTATGCTGCCTGTTTTTCCTGCTTTCAATACATCAGCTTCACAGAATGAACATTTGTCTGCTGTCTTGTATGACTCTGTTTGTTATTTAGGTAGGTAGGTAGAACTTTATTGATCCCACAATGGGGAAATTCCTGTGTTCCAGCAGCAACAAAACACCATAAGAACAGACACCACACACATATCTTGAGAAACAGATGCCAAATTACCTAAAACCAAACAGAATATAGTATTTGAGAGACAATCAAGAACAAGAATGATCCTCCCAAAATTAATCCCCGAGAACAAATATCAACATACCTAGCAAGACAAGATATAGTATTCAAGAGATCAAGAAATCAAGGACAAGAATATTACTCCCATAATTAATCCCACAATGGGGGAAATACCTGTATTACAGCCATGAGGATCTCTAAAAAACAACTCAAAAATACCTAAAACAAGACAATAAAAGGTATTCAAGAGAAATCAAGAACAGATATTACACACAAGCCTATTTACAATGCATTTCACCCCCAGGATTTGAGTATTGCACCTCAGTTGACTATTGCATAGTCCCTCATACTTTCACCTAGCTTATCACTGCAGTGATGTGTTGTACAGTCTGATGCATGATGGATGTTAGTTTTACCAGCATCCTTCTGTCCACCACCTCCTCGATGGAATCCAGGGGGCAGCCCAGGACAGACCCAGCTCTCTTAACCAGCTTGTTTAGTCTCTTCCTGTCCCTGTCCATGCTACCTCCTGCCCAACCCACAACAGGGTAAAAAACAGCAGATGCCACCACAGAATCATAAAAAGTCTGAAGGAGTGCCCCCCACACACCAAAGGACTTCAGTCTCCTCAACAGGTGGAGGCGGCTCTGGACCTTCCTGTACAGGGCATCAGTGTTTTCAGTCCAATCCAGTTTATTGTTGAGGTGGACCCCCAGGTATTTAAAGGTGTCCACCATCTCAGTGACTGAGCCCTGAAAGCTTTTAACCAGAAACAATGACAGTTAGTATCGGCTAAAAGTAGGAACTGTACACACACACATTCATTTCCACTGTTTTTGTGTTAAAGCAGAAATTTCAAGGACATATCTGGAAACCTGGACACATTAAAACAAAACTGACCGGAAACTGTTTTAAGTTTTATAATGTGGACGAAGTGACATTTAAAAAAATTAATTTGCCACTTTTAAATTAACTGCTGTGCAGTGCATTGTGTTCATCAGATAAATCAAACAAAACAGTTTGACTCTTTGGTTAATTATGACTTATAATCATAGAAGTATTTTTAAGAACTGGCCACGCTACTTGGGTTTCTCCTTCTGGTGTTTATGTTGGGCGTATTTTAACATACGTAATTTATTGCTGTCTGAGAAACTATAACAAATATTAACCCTTCATAGGAGAAAAAGTTCTAAAACAAAAAGTAACAGCTGAGCTAGTTTGCAGTTGGCAGTGTTGTATCAACAGCATTACAGATGTCTGTTTTACTATAGAAGTTTACTGGGAAAACGATTTTTAATGATTTAATTGCAGTACCTTGAGTGACCAATGAGATAAAGTGATACCAAGGTACCCCGTCATATCAATAAATGCAATACATCCATGCAGTGTCTTAGTATCCTTTAATAAAAAAATATTACTTTGACATCCATGTCTCATATAACCTCACACATACAGAAAAACATATATAATATTACCCTCGATGAATGCAATGTTCTGTATAAATCTGTTTATACTATATCTATAGTTCCATATCAGCCAATTAATAAGATTTGTCAGCACATGGGCAATCATATGAGAGCTGATTGTGGTTTAAACTCTTTGCTTATGTTACCTTTATTTCTAAACAAGAGCACACTAATTATTCAAATATATATATAAAATGACATCATCAGCCTGGACCAATCAGCGGCACTCGATTCCTTTGATGAGGAAGAAGGTTCCAGCTGCCACACCGAGCAGACCGACAGTCAGGCCCAGTCCACAGAACACGGCCGGTCCAACACTGGGCTGCTGCACCTCCACATCTGGAGACAGAAAACAGAGACATTAACCAGGGCTCCACATCTGGAGGACAGAGACATTACGTCAGTTATCTGACCAATCAGCTGTGGTTTGCTCAGCTGTCTCTGTAAATCAAGGTGTCTCACCCCAGATCTTGGTCAGTGGTTGGCTCAGGGCTGGATGTTCCACTGTACAGCTGTAGATGTCTCCCAGCTGTGGGGTGAACTCCAGTCTGGAGATCTGGTTGAAGGAAATGCATGAAAGGGACATTGTTGTACATTCCTTCAGTGACATTGTCTCCATTCCTGGTCCAGTAGACTTTGACAGGAGCAGGATAGAAACCAGTCACGTAGCAGGTCAGTGTGTTCTTCTCTCCCAGTTCCACATCATCTCTGGGGTAGACGACTGGACCAGAAGGAGTATCTGTAGAACAGCACAGCATACATCAATACTACTACGCTCATTATCTATTTGCTTTTGTTTGTAGTTTGTTTGTTTTGTTACTACACCTGGGGGTGTTTCTTGTGAGAGCTGACTAACATTCTTTGTTTTCTGGTTTGTTTTGTTATTGTTGTTTTGTTTTGTACACTTGTCTTGTGGTTCAGCCATAAAGAATCTTTGTGCCAATGTTGTCCTGTTGTCAGACAGCTGTTCTGATGACTTTAGACACTCATTTCTTGCTTTCACTGAGTTTTACCAGTTAAGCTGACACTTTGTTTGCTGGTTCTACTCACACATCACTTTAAGTGCTGTGTGTTTCAACACTGCAGTGACCTGATTTATTTACCACTTATGGTTTTTATGGTTCTCAGTCAGGTTTGGGGTATTAATGCAGTAATGCAATTGGCCATTTTAGGACTGTGATTATAGTAAATGATGTTGACAGTAACATCTATGATAGCAAAATACAGAAACTTAAAATCACAGCCTTTTATTTACTATTACTTTACTGTGTTAAAGTGGTTTCTTTAACTCAAACATGAGTTAAATGGACAGAAGCATTAGATTAGCGTTAATATCCTACCAAGTTCCAATGGGAGGTCCTTGTAGGCTGCACGGAGTTTTTTCAGGTTCTGTCTGCACTGTTCCCGCTCACTCAAAGCGAATTCATAAAGTCCTGGGAAGGTAAAATGATCTACAAAGTCAGGTAGAGCGTCCACTCCTCTGTTGTTGACGAAGTCTGCGTACCACTGCTCTTCACCCTCCAGTCCAAACATTTCTTCTGCATCAGAGTCTGAACAACCACCAAACTTAATGTCTTCATGAACAACTGAAGAGGAAACAGAAGTGCAACTTCATTAACCTGTTGACACCGTTTTTTGTTTACTGCCACATGTTGTTCAGTCATGACTGTCAGTAAACAGTTCACAGCTTAAAGACAGTCAGCCTCTTACCATCAGCACAAATACAGAGGGCACAGAAGAGGACGAGGAGCAGCTCTGACACCTTCATCTTCATTACCAGCTGTCATCTTCATTACCAGCAGCAACAGATCTATGTGAGTCTGGATCAGCGTGAATCTGTGAGGACACTGACAGAAAATCCAGCAGCAGCTGAGCGCTCACTCATAGACAGCCAATCACACTGCAGAGGTCACATGATGTCATCAGTATCTAGGTAGACAGTACTGAAACGTTAATAGTTTGAAAAATCTAAAACTTTTCCCCAACACCAACAGTTTTTCAAACTAAAAATAAAAACACAGTATTTATATTCAGTCGGTTGCTGTTAAGCTCTCATCAAGAAAACTGTTCCCACAGACGATTCTGCATAATTGTAGATGTGACTAAAAAATAAAGGTACATTTCGGAAAGTGAAAAGACAAAACTGAAGTTATTGTGCTTGGGCCTGAAAACCTTAGAAATCTGCTGTCTAATCATATAGTTACTTTAGATGACATAGCTCTTGCCTCCAGTACTACTGTGAGGAACCTTGGAGTCATCTTTGATCAGAATATGTCCTTTAAATCACACATAAACCAAGTCTCTAGATCTGCCTGCTGTCACCTGCGCAATATTGCAAAAATCAGGAGCATCCTGTCTCAAAGTGATGCTGAAAAACTGGTCCATGCATTTGTTACTTCCAGGCTGGACTACTGTAACTCTTTACTATCAGGATGTCCCAATAATTCCCTAAAAAGCCTCCAGCTAATCCAAAATGCTGCAGCCAGAGTACTAACAGCAACTAGCAAGACAGATCTTATTTCTCACATATTAGCTTCTCTCCACTGGCTCCCTGTAAAATTCAGAATAGAATTTAAAATCCTTCTCCTAACATACAAAGCCCTTAATGACAAGGCTCCATCATATCTTAAAGACCTCGTAGAGCCTTATCATCCTAACAGAGCACTTCGCTCTCAGAGTGCAGGTTTACTTGTGGTTCCTAGAGTCCACAGAAGCAGAATGAGAGGCAGAGCCTTTAGCTATCAAGCATCTCTCCTATGGAACCAACTCCCAGTCTCAGTTCGGGAGGCGGACACCCTCTTTGCCTTTAAGATTAGACTTAAGACGTTCCTTTTTGATAAAGCTTATAGTTAAGGCTGGATCAGGTGACCCTGAGCCTTCCCTTAGTTATGCTGCTATAGGCCTAGGCTGCTGGGGGGCCCCATGATGCTCTGAGTTTCTCTCCCCTCCCCTCCTGCTCTCCTCTCCTCTCCTCTCTTTTTTTATAATTTATTTAGGGGGCAGAGAGGATGTTACTAGAGACTTTGATGTTATACTCATGTTATGTTGTTGGCGCAATGTTACGAGGAATCTGCTAATAAAGTTGCATACATGTACACAGTGGATTCACGTTTATTATTATATTTACATATTTACAATATAAACAATCTATGTATAATTTTAATGTATAATGTATAAAGTATGTAATATTGCAAAAATCAGGAGCATCCTGTCTCAAAGTGATGCTGAAAAACTGGTCCATGCATTTGTTACTTCCAGGCTGGACTACTGTAACTCTTTACTATCAGGATGTCCCAATAATTCCCTAAAAAGCCTCCAGTTAATCCAAAATGCTGCAGCCAGAGTACTGACAGGAACTAGCAAGAGAGATCATATCTCTCCCATATTAGCTTCTCCCCACTGGCTCCCTGTAAAATTCAGAATAGAATTTAAAATCCTTCTCCTAACATACAAAGCCCTTAATAACAAGGCTCCATAGGGAGTTTTCCCTCCCCACTGTCACCAAGTGCTGCTCAGGGGGGATTTGTTGGGTTTTCCCTATGTAATAATATTGATAACATTAAGGTCTAGACCTTAGTTTGTAAAGTGTCCTGAGATGACTTTTGTTGTGATTTGGCGCTATACAGATAAAATTTGATTTGATTTGAAAAGATCAAACACATCTGGGGGAAAAAAATCACTTCAAATGTTAATATCAGTGTGTGAAATACAGGAAGTCTCGATGGGTCTCGACCTCTTATCAACACCAAAAGCCCCCTGAAAATGCTAAATTAAATTTTCTGTGAGCCTTTAAATTAAAGTACCCATGGCTGCTCATTTCCAGCCCTTTAGATCTTTATCTTGGGTACCTCTAGATTAGCCTTGCACCCCTCATAACTTCCAATAATCTATAATTGTTTCAGAATCATAAAACCAGAGAGCCTCTTCCAAAAAGTGAGGACAGTTCGTGAACATGCACAACTCCTCTGTTGTGTCACAAGTGGACAGCACGAAGAACCGCAGCAGCATCAATTAATCTGAATTTCTCCTCCATAAATAGGTAAACAATGGTATATGTACCGATGAAAAGAGACGTGTAACACTTTAAACAAAGTGGGTAACTGAGAAACCCCATGTTTTAACTGACATAATGCAGACCTAGTAATGTAATACTGGTTTATAGGGGCTAGTGATAGACCCGACTGTATTACTAACATTCAAAGAGAGCATGGGTAACAATCAAGCACGGGGACCACAACTCTTCTTCACAACACCCCAGAGCCGGGCGTGTCTCTTCTCTTTAATCACTTTTTCAAAAATGTCGGACAAACCAAATTCACATACACCCCAGTCAAAACACTGTAGAACTGAACACTGTCTCTCATTAATACCATTTCTTACAGAAATACCTAATAACTAAAATAAAGAAATAAATCTCATCTTACAGTAACTTCTCCAGCCTTACAACAATTCTTTCTAACGTTACAGAAACAAGGCATTAACAGACATGCAATGTGTGTTTTTTTAAACTTACCATTAAGTCCGACCGAGTAGTGGAAACATCATTCCCTTTCAAGTAGCTCCAAGGTCGGTAAATCCAACCGGTGGTTGCTGTGTCTTCCCCTACACAACCACATACAGTCCCAAAGTAGTAAAATTAATTCCAACAGGTATTGTACCGCTGACAATAACATCATGAGTCATTAAT